GTATGACCCGCCCAGGAGGGGACGGGTAATACCATTGGCGGCTTAACATGAAGAAGGCCCAGCAAGAGATATGAGGACGGCGGCTCTTGGAGGCGGGTCTGCTAAAGGCCTAGGACCGGGGTTGTGAACCGTCGTAGGAGGACTTGCTCTGTAAGGCATGACTAGTTAGAAGCCGAGCCAGTTACATTGTGTAAACCGACCGGGACTCTGTAAGCCTTCGGGTCTCTGCCTGTGTATATAAAGGTGAGACCCGGCGGCGGGTTAACTAAAGAAACAAGCAATCGAGAACTAGGTCAAGCGTATTCGCTCCCTTGTAATCGAAACTCAAGCAATACAACTAGAAGCAGGACATAGGCTTTTACCTCCTTGAGAGGGGCCGAACCTGGGTAAACTCCTTGTGTCCTTTGTCCCATTCAACCCCTTCAAGCTAACCTAGTTACGATGGCTCCACACCTAAGTCCTTTCACTAGGACATCTGCCATGACAAATCCACGACAGGGAGGGATGAGGGAAGGAGGAGAGGCGGCTAGAGGAGGGAGGAGTGGGGTGGAGGAGGGGGGAGGGGCGGCTAGAGGATGGAGGAGGGATGAGGAAGAGGAGAAGGAGGAGGCTTACCGATGCCGGGGGATGGCGGCGACGCCGGTAGCAATGCGGCGACAACGGCGATGGTAGGAGGAGGGCGACCGCGATGGTGATAGTGAGACAGGGAGAGTGAGGAAACGGGCGGGCTGGGGCGGGGGATAAGGCCGGGTAAGCAGCAACGCGGGCCACGGCCCACCGCTACTACTATCTAGTTAGCAGTAGCGCGGTTCCCACAGAGGCGCTACTACTATACCTAGCATGTTGGTAACCTGTGGCATGTATAGTGGTAGCGCGTTTTGTTCCTACCGTGCTACTGCTATGCACATAGCAGTAGCGTCCTTTGTGTACACGTGGTACTGCTAATGAGCAGTAGCGCCTTCTTTTAGTCCGCGCTACTAGTAAGCTTTTGTGTATAAGGTTTTCCCTAGTAGTGGTAGTTTGATGAGTTCATGTATTCACTAAGTGTTAATTCTTTGTTCCGGTTCTCTATTAAAAGGAGGCATTAATATCCCTTAGTTTCTAATAGGACCCCACTGCCACAGGAGAGTAGGACAAAAGATGTCATGTAAGTTCTTTTCCATAAGCACGTATGACTATATATGGAATACATGCCTACATTATATTGATGAATTGAAGCTAGTTCTGTGTCAGGCAATGTTATAACTGCTACATGATGAATGCCATCCGACATAATCATCCTTCATTGATCCATTGCCTACAAGCTAGTTTCATATTGATCGTTGCTAAGTTACTTTTCCATTGCTACTGTTACGAGCGCTACAAAACTGCTACTGTTACTTTTGCTATTGTTACCACTACTTTCATACTACTCTCCTACTAAATATTTTGCTGCAGATATTAAGTATTTCAGGTGTGGTTGAATTGACAACTCAGCTGCTAATACTTGAGAATATTCCTTGGTTTCCCTTGTGTTGAATCAATAAATTTAGGTTGAATACTCTACCCTCGAAAACTGTTGTGATCCCCTGTACTTGTGGGTTATCAGTGTCGTACGTTCGGTACTCGATCGGTTGGATCGCGAAGAAGTTCGACTACATCAACCGCGTTAACAAACGTTTCCACTTACGGTCTACGAGAGTACGTAGACACACTCTCCCCTCTCGTTGCTATGCATCTCCATGGATAGATCTTGCGTGTGCATAGAATTTTTTTTATTTTCCATGCAACGTTCCCCAACAGAATCTCCATAGTTTGCTACACTGTCATGTTGCGACGCAGTCGTGCATGCAATGGACTTGAGCCTGGTGTTTGAGTTAGGTAGCGGTCTTTGTTGCTTATGCTAATTTACGATAATTTGATATGTCCATTTCGATCTATCATATGTTACAACTATTGCCATGGAAAAGATTCTGTGTTCGTTGTGGCGTGGTGAGCAAGGCTTACATTTAGTTATCATCTATATGAGTTTTGCTTCATGTTATGCAGCCTAACATTAAAGTTTACATAGGGCTTTGCCATGGGGACGATGTGAGTGGCCATCCACATCCCTTCCTACCCCCTTTGCTAGAAGCATAGAAATAAATCAATCAATAGCCATCGTTGCCATAGCAATCGAAATCAATAGCCATCGTCCCCGCAACTTTTTAGCAAACCCTTCCTTTGCATGTGTGTATTCATATAAAAAATCTAAAACTATGTAAAATCTTTGATAAGCATGTCTTTGCCCCCACATGGTTATCATCCTGCCACTACCACTGGGGCACATGGTGAGCATGATCGTCGCCGTCGGTGGCCATATGGGGCGGGGAGGACTTGTACGGCGACCAAGGGTGGAGGAGGTGCATGGGTGGCCCCAGGGGGCGGAGCTAGCTCCCAGCGACCCGGAGCGGCTTCCCGGGCTGCTCCGGCCAGTCTCCATTAAACAATATTATGAGACCATGATTAGTACTACTAATTGCAGAGGCAAATACCGGGCAACATCACCATGCATAGACTTTGCCCCGGCTCCTTAAACGGGCTGGCTCCGCCACTGGGTGGCCAATGGCATGGCCTTTTTCTTCGTCGATGCTTCCTGAGTGTCTTGGTCGTCGTCATAGGCTTGCAGTTCCTATTCCCATCACCCGACGACATCGGAGGGCGGTCGGTCCGAATTGCCATGGCTCACGGACGGCGTAGTGGTCCCTTACCTGCGCTTTTGGGGGGCGAACGGCGGCTCAAGTGTCCCTGCCGTCGAGATATGAGTAGTAGAAGGGGTGGCTGGGGGTGGGAACGGGAGGGGATATGAGCATCCATTCCACCGGCGAGTGGGGCGTCGAAGGGTGGCGGTCGCATCTGCATCTGTGACGGCGGAACAAGTGGAGACACACACCAGAGAGAGACAGAGACAAAGATAGAGACATAAGGAGAGAAAGAGGGGGGTTACGTTGCTTCTCAAATTTGGGCATAAGTGGGCAAATTTGAGGGTAACTTCTCGAGTTTTGAGGTCCTAATTTTTTGGAGAAAAAGACTAGAAAACGGTTAACTTTGAAAAGGACAAAAAAATAAAGTATTCAATGTGAAGGGGTATAGATGCTCTAAGCTAGGTGGGTGAGTCGGTTGCATCGCCCGTACTACTCCATCCGTCCCGTAATATAAGACATTATTAAAGCATCTCCAGCGCCGATCCTTAAATCTTTCACGCCCATCCAGACTGCACTACCCAGACCGCGAAAACCTTGCACTGCCCAGACCCAAACCAGAGACAAAAGTGGGGAGGTTTGCGGAAGTCCAGACTGATCCCAAGCCCGCTTCTGACCGCCCTACCCATCAAAAAACCCTTCCTCTTCCCGTACACGCATCTCACCCGGTGCCAGCTGCCCACATTCATGCTGTTGTAGAGCGCGTCGCTTCGCATTGAAGGCCGCTCAGAGCGGACGCGACCTCTCATTGCCTTCACCATTGAAGTGGCTCGCCGACCAAACACGACTCCTTGCCACATTCATACGCCTCCATTAAACCTGCGTGGAAGTCGGGAAATCTACTCCGGCCACACGTCCGTTCATGAGCGAGCCGATATTAAACGCAACGTCGGTTGAGCTCCTCCCGTCCGCCCTTATTTAAATGAGGCCATACGCCGGGCAAGAATCACACCCCTCCGCTGCTCCCCCATCTCCTCCTTTACCACTCTTCTGATGGCTCACGAAGAGCAGTTCTCTGGCATACAAGCAGGCTGGGTGGCCAGTCGAGCCAGTCGATACAAGCGAGGCAGCTCGCTGCTCCACCTCCCGCGCCTGACCCGACGGAGCAAGTTGCCGCCCCAAGCCATCGTGTGGTTCAGCAACTCGCCGCTCCAGGCCAACTCGATGAGGAGTGATGAGTTGCTCCGCATCAACACGGCGGGGAGCGCGGTGGCACGGGCATCGCTGCATCCAGTGCATGTGACCGCGCCATTCGCCGTCGACGCGCACATAGCCGCGCCATGCACGCAGAGAAAGAAGCCGGCTACGCGGATGTTGACGAGGTGACAGCCAACACGTCCGCGCCCGCCGCCATGCATCATCGAGGAGAAGTAGAACACGGGACGCCGCCGCCGCTTGTATCCCACGAAGGCCATCGCCGGAGACATGGCCGGTTCTCCTTTATCTCAGACCATCTTGGGCACCCGCCTAAACTCCACAGAAGCACCCTTCCCCTCCGCATGAAGCACCCTCTTTGCCGCTCCGATAAGCGGCGCGACTGGACATAGGAAAGATACGGGGGGAGAATATACCTCCGGGGCTCCCGGCAGTCCGGTTAGCGGGCGGGGAAGACAAGTCGCGGCCCGGCCATAGACTAGTCTAGTGTATCCGTGTCGTGGGAGTGGAACTCCGGACGACTGTACGTGTATACCTTCTCAGTTGAAAATTTGTCCAAAATATAACCGTATTCGTCCGGTTTGTATGAAATCCGTCATATTTATATGAAATTCGGCCTTGTTTGCATGAATGTCATCTGGTTTATTAAAAATGAATTTGAAATGTGCACGACTAGTGTTGGATGACATCCTTCCACATCCATGTCCGCGAGTAAATAAGGGAGGAAATTTGCGGTTTGCCGTTAGAGATGCTCTTACATCCAATATACGGGAGTAACAAAATAGCAGCATGTGCAGTGAGTGACTGGTCACTATCCCACTTAATCGCAGGTAGGCTACCAAAGAACGCTACGCGGCTACGGAGTACTGGGCGTGATTAAGCAGTAGTTAGACGCGAATCGCAGATTCACAGCGCAGCCCAGAGTACCCACCCCTCCAAGGACGACGTAACTACCACTTGCACCGTACGCGCGCCCTGCCTTTTTAGCCACTCCACAAGCGATCCGATCCGAAGAGCAACGCTCAAAACAAGCATCGCCACACAAAACAGCGACCACCAAATCCCAAAACAAGCAAGAGACAAACAAGAAAGAAAACCAAAAATTCGATCATACAGACGCTCATCATGGAGGGAAATCCGCCACGTATGGTCGCGCTGTTGGCTGCGGCCGTGGTCACTACCATGCTGTCGCTGAGCTCGTGCTGCGCGTCGTCGGCCGGCGGGGGCGGCGGGCAGCTGCTGCACCCGGTGATACTCATCCCGGGCTCCGGCGGCAACCAGCTGGAGGCGCGGCTGAAGGACGACTACAGGCCGTCCAGCCTGACATGCCGGGTGTGGCCGCTGGTGCGCGGGCGCGGCGGGTGGTTCCGCATGTGGTTCGAGCCGTCCGTCGTCGTCGCGCCCCTCACCCGCTGCTTCGCCGAGCGGATGATGCTCTACTACGACCGCGACGCCGACGACTACCGCAACGCGCCTGGCGTCCAGACCAGGGTCTCCGACTTGGGCTCCACCTCCACCCTCCGCTACCTCGACCCAACCCTCAAGTAATAATCGAGCTCGTCTTCTTCCTCCATCTGTTTACGTCAATGATGCAGGTGTCGCAACTAATGCAGCAATGGGCCAATGGCAATGAGCAAATGACGTGCCACAATTGATGTGCAGGGTCCTGACGGGGTACATGGACGTGCTGGCGAGCACGCTGGAGAAGGCCGGGTACGAGGAGGGCCGCGACCTCTTCGGCGCGCCCTACGACTTCCGCTACGGCCTGGCCGCGCCGGGCCACCCGTCGCAGGTGGGCACCGCGTACCTGGAGCGCCTCAGGCTGCTGGTGGAGTCCGCGTGCGCGGCCAACGGCGGGATGCCGGCGGTCCTCATGGCGCACAGCCTCGGCGGGCTGTACGCGCTGCAGTTCCTGGCGCGCGCCCCGCCCGCCTGGCGCGCGGCGCACGTGAAGCGGCTGGTGACGCTGTCCGCGCCGTGGGGCGGCTCCGTGCAGGAGATGCTCACCTTCGCCTCCGGCAACACCCTCGGCGTGCCCTTCGTCGACCCCTCCCTCATCCGCGACGAGCAGCGCAGCTCCGAGAGCAACCTCTGGCTGCTGCCCACGCCCAAGGTCTTCGGCAACACCACGCTCGTCGTGTCGGAGCGCCACAACCGCACCTACTCCGCCAAGAACGTCACGCAGTTCCTCAACGACATCGGGTTCGCCGACGGGGTGGAGCCGTACCGGGCGCGGACGCGGCCGCTCGGCGAGGTCCTGCCGGAGCCCGGCGTGCCGGTCACGTGCCTCGTGGGCACCGGCGTCGACACCGTGGAGAGCCTCGTGTTCGGGGACGAGGGGTTCGACGCGGGGCCCGTGGAGGTGGTCTACGGCGACGGCGACGGCACGGTGAACCTGGCCAGCCTCATGGGGCCGATCAAGGCCTGGTCCGACTCGCCGTCGCAGGTCCTCGAGGTGGTGGAGCTGCCCAAGGTGTCGCACATGGGAATCCTCAAGGACAAGAGCGCGCTCGACCAGATCCTCAGGATTCTCGATTCCATCAATCTAAACGCCGCCACCACCACCAACACGACACATCAGTCCTCCTAGTTAGAACAAATATATTTGCAGTGGGTTTTTCTTTTCGTTGGGAAAATGCTGTCGAGATTTTTTGCTAGCTAGTGGCACTTGCCACATGGATGGGGCTGGAGATCAAGTTTGGGTTGCTTGCCACGCATACGCAGTCAATGGGACCCCTCCCTCATTAACATGTCAATGGCGACTATTACTTCATCTCATTCACTTCAGAATTGTTACCAGTGCACCACAAATTTCCTTGTTTCGTTAAGAATTCTTCCACATACAGTATTGTTCTTTACCTCAGGTTCCTCAATCAACAAGCAACTACCTGCTCTGTGGTTTTCCCCTTTTTCCAAAGTTGGTATGGATTAATTCATGGTGACATGGTTTTTTGCTCGACGCTGCTGCTTCGGCACATTCACAAGTTATTACCATTTCTTTTTCATATGAAATTAACTTGTCTACAAATAAGATCAGTGAAAAATGTGCACTGAAACCCAGCACATGTCACCTTCGGGTTGCTCCAAATAGTCCTTGGACATTCAGCAGCAAATCCTGGCAATACCTTCAGCTGATGCATCGATGCTTGTGTTGGATTTCTCATCTTCGACTTCGAATGCTTTGATCCCAAAAAGATATATAGCTAATTCTATTTTGAGTAAAATGTCGCAATTTTTCTCCATCAAGTGCAAAGAAAATTACTCGCTGACAAGACTTGATGTATTCTACTTGGAAAGCTGGAATAGATGTTACGGCAATTAGCAATTGTGAAATTTCAGCAAGGTACGGCTTGATACTCTACATGAGACGAGCTAATTTCATCTAACTGGTCAAGCACCTGAATGTGAAGTGTATGTTGGCACAAGACCACGATTCATCTACATGTACAACGCGTGCCACTTCACTAGTTTCTAAGACTTCCCTATGTATTTATTCAGAACTAAAACCAAAATAGCTTTACCTTGTTAAATCAGCTTGCTGATTATTTGTGGTTTCGTGTGCACTTCCTATGGAACATGTGTTTGTTTTGTACTATATTATACTGAAAAATTCATGCTACTGTCTATACCATAGAGTTATTTTGTAAAAATCTGTACCGAAGATCCGCAAAAAAAAAAGAATGCTGAAAGCATCAGAAAACGACCAGTTACGAGAGGCACAAGATGCGCGTGCTGCTTCTGTTCCAAACCTGGTGTCATCACCTCTTTTGCAGCTGGGTGATACAAATATTACAGTTATTCTATCCTTATGTGGGGTGCTTTCTGCAAATTGGAAGGATGGGGAAGTCCAGGTTATATCCTATACCTACATATTTCATCCAAGGGCCGTGATGTGTAGGGAGCAGCCGGAGTACTCCATCTATGGGAGTACACGATACGCTCTCGAAGTCCAGCCTCTTCAAGACTTCAACACTTAACATATGTGGCGCGTGAGCAGCCGTTTATGGTATGGACCGTGGGCCTATGCGCTGACACATGCCCAAAATAGAAATGCGCTCTCGTTTGTGCGACACTGCAACCGTTTGCTTCCTAGCAACGTCAACAAAATGATCAAATGCCAGTGGCGACTATCCTAACTTCCTAAGACATTTGAGAACATTTGCACATTACTTCATCTCATTCACTTCAGAATTACCAGTGCACCACTACCACATAATGAAAGTCAGATATTGCATCCACAACTTTCCTTCTTTCAGAAAGAATTCTTCTACATATTGCTCTTTACCTCGGGTTCCTCAATCAACAAGCAACTACCTGCTCTGTTGTTGTTTTTCTGCTCCTCGACGTGCATGGTCTGGCACATTCAAAAGCTAGTACCATTTCTTTTTCCTATGAAATTAACTTGTCTACGAATATGATTAGTGAAAAATGTGCACTGAAAACCAGCAGATGTCACCTTCGGGTTGCTCTAAATAGTCCTTCGACATTCAGCAGCAAATCCTGGCAATACCGGTAAACTTTGTTTACTATGCCTCATTGGAATGCAAGTTCTGATCATCCATCTACACCATTGTTATAGGCTCCCTTCAGCTAATGCATCGATGTCTTTGTTGGATTTCTCATCTTCGACTTTGAATGCTTTGAACCCAAAGCGATATTCTAGCAGTTCCTTCCGATCGGGCGGAGAAACCAAAACATTCATAGTCGCCTTTCCTCTCCAGCAAACAATGGCGATTGGGGAGGGGTCCTTGGCTATGGAATCGGCAATTTGATGTGCTGAAATATTAACAAGATTTACATTACCACAAGTCATGGGTTGTTTCAGGTCTACATAGGGCATAATGTTACCTTCACGCAGCACTACAACGCAGCAACCAGGCATCAAAGATGCAGCCTCCTCCCCGAATCTAGCGTCGGCAAAACGAGCAAAGTTAATGGTTCGGTATTGTACAAGATGCTGGAAGTCAACTGGAGATGCGTATAGTATCCGCTTCCTCATGTATGGAAAGAGCAATGACAGCCCCTCATAAGATAGCCTGTATGCACATGAACAGCCATCCTTTGATCTATGCCTTTCCTGAAAATGAACAGAGAAACTGAGTTAGTTCATAGCGTTAGGTTAAAGAAAATATCCACTCTTTCCATGAAAGTATATTAAAATCTGCTTCATTGGAGCACTTACAAACATCTTTACGCCAAGAGAAGCAATTTTAATCTGCTCACCAACTTGTACATTCAGTTCTAAAACGTCTTGTACTGCTTTCGATACATAGTATATTCTCCTTGCATTATCAGTACTTCTTGTCACCAGACGGCCTTCGAGTGAAAACGATTCCTCGATACCAAAGAACGATACTATATTTTTTATCACATCCTCATCTTTGAAAAATAGGACGGGATCAATTCCTTTCCACTTGTGTCGGTAATCCAACTTATTCGTTCTATGACTTCTATCGCCTGATTCTGTCTGACTATATTCTACATCATCAGATGCCATCTTAACTTCAATTAAGTTGTCATCCTTTGAAGTTTGGTTGGCCACGCTTAATTTTGCCTGTTCATCAAGCAATTTGTTATCATCAAGAACCTCAGAAACAATTCTATGCTGACATTGCTCCTGAAGTTTCACTGTCCTGTTTCCCGAGAGCAGGTTCTCAGTTTTTCTCACCTTGATCACCTGGTTTTCTGAAAGAATGTCAAGAATACATTTAAGTGCATCAATGATAGAGCATATCGGTAAATCAGAACATATGGAAATATTTATGAAATGTAAAAATATTTTAAGCAAAAATAAAAAAAATGAGATTACCATTCAACGGGGACAGTTTACGAATAACTGCAATGAAAAATGCCCCACCATCTTGGTCATGAGGAACAATTCTCATGCAACGGTACAGAGGAAATTTTGAACCCAAGCTTTGAGCGGAATTACTACTTGAAATGCCACCTGTATCACAATTAACATTGTTTGTATCTTCAATGTTGAAATTTCTTGACAAGGGCACATTGTACTCTGAATTAACGTCAAAGCTGTTATACACTGTATGGCTTTCATGGATGCTTGTACTTGAAGGAAACATGCTAGGCAATATTACATTCTTCCTACTGTCAGGAACATCTTGATGAGTCTGAAACCAAGATCCTTTATCGTTCACCTGCAAAAGTCACGAGGGGAACCATTGGGGAAAGCAGATTGGCTGGCACCTTATATCTAGTATGCAGTATTGCCCAGCATTGAGCAACTGCTCAACTGAGCACCAAACAGAAAAAGGTTGAATTCGGTAATATCATAGTTAGCAGAAACAACAGGCGCTTATATTGTGGATTGAACACAGAAATTTATTAAAAAAAATAGAAACTAATAATTAGGGACAAGCACCAATATTGTGGACAGAGCACAGAGAAAACAGAATAGCAAGAGAATCACGATGTGGATATGTGTCAACTAACCTTCCAAGTGCTAAGTCCGGGTCGGCGGACCAATTCTTGTAGCTCACTAGAAACATCAAGTAGTTCAACAGAGCTTCCACTTCTCCGGAGAAGCTGATTATGTAAAATAATAACAAATATGATGACAAATTATGTTATGCAACATAAATAAAGAAAGTACAGAAAAGGATTAATGTAGAAAAGCTCTATACATATCCAGGTTCTGAGATACTGCATAGATGCAATAAAATACGCAGAAAGAAATGGTAGCTGCTAACCAGCCAACTGCGTTAGTTGATCAGCATGAAAACTGTCATTTGTACTCCACTGAGAATCCTGTTCCCCAGAAAATAACTCTATCAAGAATCTTATGATTAGGCAATTCAGACGGGCTTATGTTCGTCTTAAGCCCCACATCCGGATTAGTGAGCATGTTAGGCAAACATCATTTTAAGCTTACTCATGAGGTACATTACTAGGCCTACTTCTGCTGTGCCATAAGATAAGGCAACTAGCCAACTAGAAAGACAAACCTAGAGGTGCTCCAAAAGGTCCTCAAGTGCACACAGATTTGGCTCAAGTTCAGTCTATACCTTGTAAAAGATAATGCTCTCTACTTGCTCAACGGTAGGTGTAATCTATAATGCATCAATGCTCCTAAAATCAAACAAATACCTCAGCTACAACAGCTTCATTTTCGACAGGATTCATTGAGCAAGTTGAGTAAACCATCCTACCACCCACTTTAAGTAAGGCAATACCTGGAAAAACAAAGTTAAAATTTTGATACTACATGCTATTAATAAGGAAACTTCAACTAACATACATTTTGGCCACAAAACAGATCCAAATTATATTCAGCATCGTTTTCGGTTCTACCATTCCATAAACCTTTATGATTCAAAATTTTGGTTCTACCATTCCATAAACCTTTAAGTTTCAAAACTCATGGATACAGGTTTCTGACCATGTTGGGAAAAAAGGAGGAAAACAAATAGTCAAATGCTTAATTCAAATGTGATTAAGCAGATGCCTCTCTTTTCACAGTATGGGATCCATCTGATTGGTCCTGGCGACTGCTCTTACTGGTGTCTCTTCCTCCACTAGTAGCAGAATTACCACTTATAATCAGATGACTTTTATAATAACCGTTCCACAGAA